CAATGTCAACAGTGTTAATACTGATGTTTTGAGGAGAGTCTGGGCTGTGTTGCATAAGGTTGGATAAACACCCTTCAAAATTTGCTTCCTAAAAGTGAAAGCAGATTGGAAGACTGGGAGATCATGCTCATCTCTGGAGGTCCCATCCAACCCTTGCAATTCTGTGATCTCTGCCCTCAAATTGGATAGGAAGGACCCAATTCATTTATCCTTTTCCCTTGACAGCTTTGTTTTTTTCCTACTTAAAAGCTTGAAACAACAGAGGTCCTATCTTCTGCGTATCTGAGAAGCCTCTGCAGTATCACTCCGTTGGTGCTCTCCTTGCACTCTCAATGCTTGTCTAGTTTTTCCACACGGAGGACACGCTCCTGATTTCAGCACAGCAAGGGTTCAGGTGACTTTGAACACTGCTGACGCTTCATCTGCAGCCCCCAGACTTTTTTGCCTGCTCTCATTACTTCAAATGCTTTCTGAATTTTCAAGAGAGGTATTGATTCACATTAATGTGGTGCATGAGCATGACTCGCTGCCATCATTTAATTCTCTTTTTTTCAGTGGGAAGGGTGAAAACACATATGGTAGCTTTTCATCTTTTTTCTGAATGCTTTATTTATTTTTAAGTGGGAAGGGACAGCTGTGACAGGCGAGCAAAATAAGCAAAGAAATACACCCAAGGCCTGTCAAAAGGATTGCTATGGCAAACTTTGGTTCTCTTTTCAGGTCTGTCACTTAGCACTTGTGTTAGATTAATGCAAAGTATCGATCTGACAAGAAACAATTCTGCCAAACTAAGTTAGTTTTAAAAAATATGGTGAGTTGTGTATTTATGCTAGCAGGTTTTCTGCCAGACTGAAAATCATCCTCCCTCTTATAGCTGCTGCAAGTGAAAAAGGCAGCATCAATTCAGCATCTAGTGTGCTCTGGCTAATTTGACAGAAGAGTATTCATGCACCTGAGCCTGATCCAAGTCAAATGGGTAATTCTTCAGGATGCCATAGCTCACAAACCTGAAAGATCTTAGGCAAATGCATGTAAAAGCTCTTTCCTTTCTCACTCCTAAAGACAGATGCCAGCGTGTTAATATTTGCTGCAACTACTCTGAGATTCCTAGAATAAAGATGTATTTATAAGTAGAAATGTTTATGGTGATGGTCTACATAGAATCAAGTTTCAATTTCCTGTGCTCCAAAAATACTTCCTTGAAATATGCAGGGCGCTTCATGGTTGTCCAAAATAGCAACACTCAAAATAGAGCTCGGATGCCAATATGCTATCTAGAAGAAAAATTAAACTGATCCTAGAGTGTGGAAAATGAGACTCTTTGTTTTTGCCTGTCTCAGTGTTTGGTCACTGTTTTCACATTAGGATTGAAGTTGAAGTAGATGAAAGCTTTTTGAGACTGGATGCTTACCAGAAAGGATGAGGCTAAATTAAAAGGATTTTACCTTTTAATTGAGCTTCACATCTCTGGGAGTATGCCATTTCAGCATCTGTTACTGGAAAATGTTCATTTCAGCCTCAGTAATCCCTCAGACAGTGAAGCAAAACTCACTGATCCTTCAGTCTGCCAGAGGATGATGGTAGGGGCAGGATCTAACAGTAACCATATATAGACAGATTTGTCTCCAGCTAATTAATTTCAGTGTTGGCTCCTCTTAAAACCAAATCTGCCTGGCCAGGAAGGTGCAAACACTTTTAAATCAGTTGCTAGCTGTCTTTAAAATGCATGTAAATAAAGGTTACAACTATTTGGTTAAGAGGTGGAGCTGAATCTACTGTAGTTGGTGCTCTTCAGTTCTGAGGCTGAAATTCAGAGAACTAGAAAGCCCTAGGAAGTGCTGAGGAGGTGAGCAACGAAAAGTGTAAAAGTTGTGCAATCTGGAAAATCGCGCTCACGGCTGACTTAAAAGATTGTCATGGTAACACAAGCTCACAAAATGCGAAGTCCAAGCCCTACTTGAAGGTCTGAGACCCAGGATAAAGAATAGACTATTATTACTGTGTAAGTCGATTCAGGATCACATAAATCAAAGCTTCAGAGCAAGGGGTCTGTATTTCCTTTGATGGTTAGGGAGCTCAATAGTTGCTTTCATTCTGACATCCCGTAAGCTAACATTAGTTATGTTGATAGTCTTTGCTGTAAACTGTACAAATAGAGGAGACTGCATATGAAAATACATTATAGCAGCTTTGCAGCTTGGGCCACAATCTGATTGTCAAAAAGAACAAGACTCCCTTATGCAGTGACAAGCAGTGCATAATGAACTCCAATCTCAGGCTCTCTTTAGACTACAATGGGCTTTTTCTTTCCTCAGCTGAGCATTAAGAAAGCACCGATTCATTTCTATACATACAGGATGAGGCCAAAAGACAGCAGGTTTGGGAGCGTGATTGATGGTTCAACAAACTCATAATATGTTCTGATAGATGCAGAACTCGTGTTTCTCTAGGCACACAAGCTCTTTCCTGATGTGTCTCCACAGGACTTTCTTCTGGAGAACTGAAAGTATCTCACAGGAGAGAGAGACAGTGGAGGGCTGGAGCTTTGTATACATAGCTCTGGATTACTACAGTCGTTAATCATTGACCAATGGTCCACACTGGTCAGTAAGATGCATGCTAGCTTCACATGCATTTTGCTGACCAAAGAATAGTTTTGGAAGAAACAAACAAGTGAATATAATCTTTGTTCACGGATGTATGTGCATGCACTAGAATACCGTAACGTAAAAATCAACTTTGTCCTCTGCTGGATTACTCTAGTCTGAAAAATAAATGAGAGGTGAAAATGGTCAGATGTAAAGATAACATACAGGTCAAGGCAGATCGGTGTGGTGAGCAGTAGACTTGGTAAATGGTGAGTTATCACGTAGTGATGTTACAGTTCATGTATATCCAGTAGGCAGCTATAGGCTGTCCTGAGGAACTCCGGATTTTAGCAAAACAAGCATAGTAGACACCAGGTTCTAGCAGGGGTCTGAATGCTAAGAGGATAAAATGGTGTGGGGCTCTGTTTCCATGCAAAGAGAGCGCCAGGTAGGAAAAATTCTTGGGAGCGAGACAAGGGAGCAAAGTAAGACTGGTTATAAATGTTACGCTGCAATGGCCCACACAGAGCTTCATGAAAATGAAGGTAAATGCTTTGGTATTCAGAAGTACCCTCCAGTCATTCACTAAGGTCTGAAATAGTATTGGAAGGAGGGCTGGGGTGAATTCAAAAAGCAAGATTCCTACCAGGGAACTTTCCACTCTGAGAGCAGGAATCCCAGTCTGTTAAGCTGTCTTTCTCACACATGGGAAGTTTTTTCCTGCTTTGGAGAGGATCTATAGGGCTATTCAAGCAGATGAGGAGACCAGGACCAGAAGGGAGAGAGACCTATTGCTGGTCCCATTGTGTTTTGTTGCAGGCTGAATTCAGGCACCTTTGTGTGCGATCCACTTCTCCTCCATGGTAAATTTTACATAGGTATTAACTCTCTGCAGGCTGTGTCACACATTTTATTTTCCTCAGCATAACCACTTCACTTTATGGTAGTCCCAGATGCTATTCCAAGAAAAATACCTTTTGCTAATACTCATTCTGTTCTGGCACCTGGCTTAAGCTGTTCTGGCAAAAAGTAAGCTGGTGTGAGCTGTATCACCGCTAAGTGGTTTTGGTCAGACTGGTTTGACAATATTTCTAATCTTTCTTAAGAGTAGACCAAATATGGCTCTGCCAGAAGTCTGGGAAGGAGTCTCCAAGGAGAATGTGACTCATTCGGAAATTGAGGTGGGCCCCAGACGAAAATGTGATTCAAAGTTGGTTGAGTGTAAAAAGGCAAAAAAGATAAGGCTTTATGAATGCACTGATTTGTAATACAGCTTCTCCTATTAATTTCTTGTTTCCCATGTCATGCCAGGTTTATTGCTTCACTGTCTTCACAAAAGACTAAACACTCTCTTAAAAAGAAAAATTCTCACCCTGAATCATTTTGTTTTATTTTCCATATCCCAAGGCACTATTTTCTAGGACTTTTAATGCCAGCATAAATCTTCACAATTACATCAGCTTTCTATGGAGTAAAACTTGTGCGAGCTGAAAATCAACCACCCTGTCTAGCTTGGAAAATTTTTCATTGGGCTAAGGCTTTAGAAGAGTATAAATTACAATACATTATTTCATTCAAATTCAAACACGGTTTCATGCTCTGAGTTAAGGCTATTTTGCTGTGAGCGGTAGGTCTGACGAGGCCTGGGGAATATTTCTAAATCAGACTCCAACTTTGTGATGAATCCACCCCTCTGTAGCGCTCTGCTGGTTTTCTTCTTGCTCTTCGTATTCTATTTTATTTTGTAATATTCGCATTACTAAAATAGTAGAAGCAGATGGTATTATCTAGATATCGAGCAATTAGGCTTGAAGGATTGGAGCCAGACTTCTCTACCCTTGCAGCTGAGGGTGCAAGCTTGCTTTTTTTCAGATGAGGACAAGCAGAATGCAGTGTCAGCTTCGGTGAGGGTATTATTTCCCCAGGCAGCTCTGAAGAGCTCCTATGGGATGAAAGCTACCACTCAGTTCCCTTGGCTCCAGGTATCCTCTCACCACAGCACCAAAGTCATTTCAGAAAAATACTAAATAAATTAAAAAATTGAATGCAAGGAACTGAGTATAATCCTTCTGGTTCAAAAGGGATGAAGTTGCTGTGAAACTTACGCATTTTTATCTTTAAGAAGGTCCCAAAAACTGTAAGTTACTTTGATTTTATGTATTTTTTTTTAAATCTGGAAAGATAAGACGTGAGCAGTTAGCACTGACACCTCTTCTGTTTTCTTTAAAAGATTATCTTGACCATCAAGTTTATGGTGGAGCATCCCTTTTCAAATAAGCAACAAAACTGAATTAAAAACACTGTCTGAAAATCATACCTTGCTGCATCTTTCTTCTTGTCTATTGTAACAAATAAGTCCAGCAGATTTTTGGGAAAATTAAATGTTGGCTTCTTTATTTTTAACTTTTCTAGATGAAACTGAGGCACATATTGACTATGAAGATAATTTTCCTGATGACAGATCGATACCTGTTGCTGAGAATGAACATGCCAATGGCAAAGAGGAAATGGAGCAGGAACAAGAACAGCTTTCTTTCAGTAAAAATTCAGAGGAAGGAAGAACTGGAAATACTAATGGGGTTACTCAGGACGTAGATACTTCTGAAAAAGGAAGCAGGGCACCAACTGAATCCCCCGTTTCTCTCCTAAGCCAAAAAAACTTGTTTTGGTTTCCATCAGAGGCTTTCAGTGAGCCTGAATCAGAGAAAGAGACAGACGATTCCACTAAAGCACAGTTTTCTGAGGGTGATAATCACATCGGAGTCAAGACAGTGTATGATGAACCCAGTGCCAAAATGTTCTATGACAGTGAAGATTTCCCCATTGGGCCCATTCTCACAGCTAATGATACAAAGGAAGGGATAGATACAGTTCCTATTACTGATGAGTCATGGTTAGATGGCTATCCAGTAACACAAGAAGTGGTAGAGGATGATGAAGAGGAGGGGGATAAAGTTGATGGATCGATGGGAACAGAGGAAGACATTATCCTCACGACTGACCGACCAAATCACGTTGAAGTCAGGAAATTGGGCAATGGTAGCCCTGCTCCAGAGGAAGGTTTAACACAGATTGTGGCAGCAACAACGAGCATAGATGATGAGAGGGTCAAAGAGACGTCAGTACCTCTTACATCAGTGAGTGGTCTGGAGGACTTAAGTGTGAGCAGAGGTTATGATGATGCTGCATGGGACCACCCAACTACAGCTGTGGAAACTGTGACTCAGGAGCCCGGTACAACACTGCTGTTGGATGTAACCAGCCTAAGAACTTCCATGTCTGAAACCTCTGCGATGGCCAGCCCCTTCGATCATACTCCTGAGGAAGAAGAAAGGGGAACAACAGCCTACCCAGCACAAGTAGCAACCACTGCACCAGCTCCAGATAGCCTTACTGGCACATCATCCCCAGAGTTAGATGAGCAAGAAAATCTCACCCAGGGCCTTGGAGAAAAGCCAGTCCCCACTTCTGAACCTTGTGAGGGAGAGGATTGCCCCAAGTCAAGTAAAGGCGCTGTCATAGCGGTAATTGTGATTCTCCTGTGCTTGTTATTGGCTGCAGCTGTGCTGGCTGTGTGGCTTTTCAAAAAACGGCAGCAGAAAAATTCTGTCTATAAACTGAATGGAAGGTGTCAGCCCCGGCATCACTGCTACCACCACTACCACCACCAACATATTGAAATGCAGAAAGTCTAACCAAGGGTCTTCTGGGAGAAAAGCTAGATATCAGCAGAAGGTATTGATGCTAGAAGGATCACATGACTCATGGATACTAAAATCCAGCAGTGCAGAAACCAGAAGAAGACAAAATGCTAAAAGAACACAGAAGACAGATGAGATTTCATCTGTTTGAAATTGCAGTTTAGCATATCTGACCATTCAGAACTAAAGAATCTGTATGTTTTTATCAAAAGATCTTTTGGAGTCATCAGCAGGACACAGTGTGCTTGCTAGGACATCTACAGTTTGTTCTGCTTTTACATTTTGCTCCTATTAATAATAAATTAATTGATTAATTTCCATGCTACCTGATTGTAATCTAATGGCAGGGCTGGTCGGGCCTTCTTGGACTACTCTCAGTGGAACAGAGAAGGGAGGAGGGGAAAAGGATGTTTTTGGAGTAACTGCACATCTGGCGATTGTTCCTTTTTTGAGAACCTGGCCAAGCTGGTCAGGATAAACCACCATAACAAATTATTGCCTGACGTGTCTTAAAAAGCAAAACTATTTGCTACCGTACTTTAATGGATAGTATTGCAGTGATTACTAAGGTACTTTTCTTCAATGATACGAATTTAACAAGCCAAAAACCATTAAGGTATTTCTATGGAAGGTGCTCTTTTAGCCTTAGTGAAGAAGTGCCATTCTTATACTAATCTTTTTATAGAAATGATGATGCCTCCCTGGAATTCAGAGAATACTGTATGGGCCGTTCTTCCTTTAGTATCAGCTGAAGAGGACTCGGAGCACTGATTTCAGATGTTACAATGAATAATGTTGTATTACAGAGCAGATGGTGATGAAGCACTTTGCAGGGGAACCAACCTGAAGTCGGTCACTTTTCTGAACATGGTGGTGACTGACCAAGATACTGAATTTCAATTCAAAGCCAGCAGTACCACTGGCAGTCGAAGCCACGTCTCATGTTTCTGCCCTATGAACTCTGTGCAATGACTGATTTTCACCATTCTGCTTTTTCATCAGCTGAAAAGGTGTCTGGAGGGGACAAAGGCTGGCATGGGAGATGGGTATTCATATGGAATGCTGCTTAAAGGGAAAATGAACTTAGGGAAGGGAGAAATTACATCCAGTTGATAAGAGTCAAGTTTTTGCATTTTAAACTGGATGGTAGTATACAAATGCAGAGGTCTTTTCAAAAGCATGTTCCATTTCAAATGGTTTTGAAAATGACCGTGGAAGAAGAGGAATATGTTTTCTAGAATCCCTCAGAATAGTTCTAATAGTGTCTACTATGAAGTACTTCCTTACCTTTCTGAATGTGAAGTCTAGCAAGTGTGAATAACCTCCAAGTCTTAAGTGATGCATCCACGGCTGTCCTGCACAACCCCAGCCAAGATGCTCAAGAAGTTGAACTCAGCAAAGTACTGGAGTAAGGAAAGGTGACTTGGCAGAGTTCATTCAGGTTCATGATCTGTTCTGAGTCGCGCTGATAACCATCCCTAACTCCATGGAAGGTAGACTTTGTGAAATGGAGTGCAGCACTTGGCCTGTCACAAATACAGCCATCGTTCCCAATGCTGGTAAGGAAAACAAAGGTTTTTTTAAAAGAACAGATAGAAGGCATCTTGGAGAATTGAACCTCAGAGTGGTAAGAATCTAATGGCCTGGCAAAAGCCAGAGTAAAGAAAGAAGAGCAGACACTGTACAGATTTGTAAATACTGTGTTCTCTGACATATGCATGACTGTGCTTTTAATGCATTCTAGAATACGAAATAACCTAGAATTTCTGTTGTAAACTATTTTTTTATGCAGCAGTGTTTTTAAAAAACAATGGATTTAGCACTAAGGAACTTTATGGAGACTTAATTTGACTAAAATGTACCTTGTGTAATCTTGTGGAAATGTGCTGAAAAATAAACACAGGAGCATCCATTAAAATATTGTTTAACTGAATGGTACAAGTATGTGTTGCAGTTCTATGAAGCATCACTCAAAATGAAAAGTCAGTAGTGTTTGGCTCAGGAACTGGACTGTAAAAATGAGACTCAAAATATAATTATGACCATAAACTGCACAGGGATATGATTTGAGGCACAGAAATCACTTGTTGTTCATGAACCAGAAAAAAGTGCACATTAACATAGAGCTTTGGAGGTATTTAAATAAAAGTCAAGTTACAGAAAAGGGAAGGAAAATGGCTGTGTGTGTTCTTGTGTGAATCATCCAGTTTACCCACGTGTTTCTGAAGGAAAGTCTGTCTCTTGGGTCATTCTTGTACAAGACATTCTGATATTAAAAAATCAGCTGAAAAGCATTCAGTTCTACTCAGAAAAGCATCTACTCCTGTCCAGCAGCATCTGCTTGTGGTCACAGTTTTTATTTGACCGCAGTGATGCATGGAGTTTGGGAAAATGAACAAAAAGAGGGATGAACAGTCCATGAATGATACATTAGATTTCTGTGTGTGTAACTTGGCTTAGCAGTGACAGAAGGGATGGGAAAAAAAACCAAACAATATGGCATGGTAAATTCAGAATGAGAAGATGGTAATGCCAAAATACAGGGGTGAATTGCCCTGTACGGGTGGTTAGAGCTAAAAGTGCTGGGTGTTGGTTGGGGTTAGGAAGGGAAGAATCACAGGGGGAAATACCAGGTGTGATTTTTCTGAAGATACCTGCTCATCAGGGGATCGATGTGTTGTCCTATGATGAACAGCATGTATTATCCTCTTGTAGGGAAGCCACGTTACAACATGCTGTCTGTCAACTCGCAGGCATTACAGCTATCATTTTCTACCTTTCTCAGGCAGAATTCTGGGGTTCGAGCCCTTGAAACCAACAGATGTTTGCTCCCCTTTATGCAGAAACATCGGAATCGCAAATTATTGAAACCCTTTCCTTTACTCCGTGGTTGTGACTGCATTTGCCAGCTAGGTGATGAGATATGGTTTATTGCATATTGTACTTCAAAAGTTACTGTGTTGAGGATTTGCTGCCGCAGGCATAAAGACAGCACAGATTGATTTTTTTTCTCCAGTGAAAATGATTCAGTTTTTTCTATCTTAACACTACAAATTACTGGCTGTACATCGCAATACTAGCTGTGAATATCATCGCATATAGCCGTGAATGGCCATCTTAAAAATTAGTCATAGCAAGAAATGTTTTGGTAGTTGTAAGACATATCAGACTGCAGGGTTGTCACCAGCTCAGGACGATACGCAAATGTTTAATGCCTTTTTAGATGAGTGCTAATAAGAAAGGGATAAAGGCAGAAAGCCCCATTTTTCTCTGTAAAGTTAGCAGTCACATAATGCTGCCGCTCGGACTCCGGTATTTCCATCTGCAAGTAACGAAGTTCCATTACTTTGCAGAAGTCATCAGTAAAAGACCATATTTGTTACTTCATGCTACTTAAAAGGTCTGCCCAAAAGCTACATGAAAGGGAAGAAAAAGTTAAATATAATCAAAGAGAACTTAGGTTTTTTTCTACCAACCGAAAAGTTAGTGTTTATAAACTTAAAAAGGCGCAGAATTCTCCGCAGAATTCAGTTTCCATATATCATCAGCACTGCAAGGAGAGAGAAGAGAGGCGGGAGGAGAGATGGGTGTCTAAACCACGGAATGTTTCCTTGCCAAAAATAAATAAATAAATGGCTATCTATTTATTCTGATATTTTTTTTCCAAAGCACTGAAGAGGACTTAAGATACAAAACGTTGGTTTGCTGGGGTGTGCAACCCAACTCACTTTGGCTATTTCTTACTCAACTTCTTTATTTTTTGTATAGCTTAAACTCTCCACACTGGGTCATTCAAGTCTTGAGTCACCAGAAAAAAGAAGTTGCTGTTTAAAGTATGGCAGACAACCAAAAGTTCAGACAGCTGCAATGAAGGATTAGTTGTGGGTTTTTCTCGCTGCCTTGCTACAAACTGCATCACAGCTCTATGTTCAAACATTATTAAATGGGAATGTTTTCTCTGGCACCAACTACTTCTCCCCACAGTTTAAGTATTGATTTTTTTTTAACTGAAGTAGCTTTGGTTTACAGCTCACATTAGAACTTAAAAACATATTTCCATAGTAGCTGGCATATGCAGGCAACTGTTTATTCTCAGTACCAGCCATAATAAACACTTGTACTTTTATAATCCAACAAATCTTTGTCTAATCACAACTTCGTTTTCAGAGCTGTAAAATTTGCATGCTATTTAAACCATTTTTAAGGAAGACTCTTTAGAAAACGAAAATTTTCTTAGTCTGTCTTCACTGTCCGTACAGACCAATAATTAGCAGTAAAGAATGCGTGGGATAGGATAGATATGTACTGCAAGAGAATTGTATTGCAGCATTGAGAAAAACCTTTGTAAAGCAGGGCATGCTAATTGATTTTCAGAGGAATAGATTGTTTTTTAGAGACAAACCTTTATGTGATCTAGAACTTATTCTGGTACGTGTGGGAAAAGAAGGTAAATCCTTGGTTGGATAAGATGGGTTTTTCACTTGAACTGAGGACAGCATCCAACTAACTTTTAAGTTTATCTTTTAGTATTCTGAAGTGGTAAAGCTCTGGAAAATGGAGCAATTTGAATTCTCTTTTGGCACATGCACTGTCAACAGAATTAATGAAGTTCTGCTCAGAATGATTACAGTGAATGAAAGAGCCCTGCATGGTATTTGACTTCCTGTGGAATTTATCAAAATTGAACATCCCAAAGGTATTTTGTTATTTGATGCTGGTTATTGGGAGTCACCAAGACGCAGCGAGTACGGAGTCTGTGATGCTGTCTTCTGGGAACACAACTGAGCTAGACTTGAGTAAAATCACTACTGATGTTTTTCATTTTAATACTGACATTTATGATGATGAACTAGTCAGGATCCAGAAGACAAAGTACAGGACTGTGTACAGGCTCCTGTGCTGGCCGTCTGCCACTAGATGCACTTCATCCACCAGTCACCTATAATTCAGACAGTGTCTGAATTACATGATCACATGCTCAATACATGGCAAAGTTATTACAGACTTGATTGTGGGCAGCAAAGGAGGATCGAAGACTAAGAGCAGCTATAGAAACAGCTAACTTTGTTATCACAGATGTGAGAAATTCTCAAAAAGAGTAAGGCTACTGCTCCACAACAAGCAACACTACTGCTGAAGTTGATATGAATCACCAGGCGCGTGGTAGCAGAGCTGCATCCAGACACAAAAAGATGATTGCTTCAACAGAATGATGGCTCCAGTGTCATATCATAGACCTTGTCAAGATAAGAACAGGTGATGGAATATTAACAGCAGAGGCTGCTAACATTGGAGGCAGCAGTAACAGCAAAACTCATAACGGCAAGAATTTGGGGTGGCAGAAGAGAGGAAAGAACCGTGTTCCCTCGGCCTCCCAAGAAGAGCTGGCAGGATCAGAAAAGTGGAGGAAAAGACACTAGTTTATTGCAGTCACATGTAAATGTTGGCATTTAACAATAGCAGCAGTGAGAGAAAAGTCAGTTGAAAGAACCTGAGAATGCTGAAAAAAGCCACAATAAATACTGAATAACTGGAAGAGGAGATATTTCTCATTAGAAAAGGACAAGAGTTTGAGAGCTACTTGTACTTATTAAGATTGAACTGGCTTGGGACCATATGGAGTGGAAATTAAGAAAGCCAGAAAAAAATCCACAGACACTCAAACAATGTGAAAAAGTGCCCTTTTTGAAGGCTGCTAGAATAGTAGTTGCCTCCTCAGGTTGAACAGAATGGTAAAGTATATCAGACCTCATGCAGATTTAAGAAAAATAAATCATCACCTCATGGACGTTTTAGTAAACCATGATATTCCCACCTGAGAATGCTGAACGGCAAGGGATTTCAGCTGTAAGCTTGAGAGCTGAGGAAATGACTGAACATGAAAAGAGATCATCTAAGGAAGCCCTAAAAACAGTCACAAGCTTACAAGAAAATTGATAATACCTGAGGGACTTGCAATGGTTAAATAATGGTTTGACAAAAAGGAAAAGCTAGGGCTCATAGGCACTAAATGTATCCCCAGTGTAAACCATTGCAGGCAAATGAATCACTGAACAGGTTAACTCTAGTGCTCAGTGCTTTACTGTTAGAACAAAAATATTACAATAATTTACCATGCATGATGCATATTTTTTTTAATGTTAAACAGTTACTGTCGGTCAGTGTTGGAGAGGGGAAAGGAGTTGCTTAACAGGAACTGCCCAGCAAAGCAAAGGGATCTTGTAACTATCCTGTAATCTCAGACTGTATGGGAACTGCTGAATCACAGCCTGAGCCTCTGATTGACCACCTGAGGCGAGCACTGAGTCAGCCATGGAGCACAGGTGAAGGCAATTCAGCTGTGTGATGGAAGGAGTGGAGCCTGGCTGCGCCTCTCCTAGACCCATTTGAGAGCTGACTGCCAGTAGGGAAGGGTCTCTTCCTGGGGATCGTTCCTTGTGGGCAATATTGTGAGCCTACAACATAGGTAAGTATTTTCTGTTTATTATTGTCCTGTAGCAATAGTCTTACTTAGCTTCACTTTCCTGTATCTTTCTTAATTATAGTATCTGTATGTTCTTTGATTATGCACAGACCTGCTGTTGCATATTCCCCTCATTTCATCAAAATTGGTTCAGAAGCTTTCTGAAAACATGCTATTTCCATAAATGTACATAGTCATGGGAGATCTCAGACCCTGCAGTCTAGCAATGTAAAATACAGGTTCTCTTCTTTAAAGTTTTTAGGATACTTCAGTATTGCACTGTGGTACCTGAAAGTACTACAGTACAACACTGACGTGCCCTAGACTTTTGAGACCACACAAAGAGTCAGAGCAGAGCTACTGAAGTCAGTTTGGTAAATAAGAAAAAAATTAAAAAAACATTATTAAAAAAAAAAAAAAAAATCAATATAGATGGATATTTGTGCCCTGACCAGCTCCGTATCCTCTAGAGTAAGGGCAGCTGCAAAGCTAGTGTGTCAAAGATGAAGCTATGTGGCCATATGATTTTAAATTGAGTAGTACAGTTCCCAAGAAGGAAATCTGGAGCTGTTCCATACAGGTTGGAAAGCAGAAAGACAAAAGAGGCCTCTAGAGCAGTAATCTTTCTTCTGGAAGGTTTATGCTTCTCAAACAAGGAAACTTGAGGAATTTCTGCTCTGCAGTGGCGAGGCCTCACTTTGAGCACTGTGTGCAGTTCTGTGCACTGCAATGTAAGAAAGATGTAAAACAGTTAAAGATCATTCAGAAGACGGCTACAAAGATGGTGAAGGGTCTAGAGGGAAAGAATTGACAACCAGTTCTCTTAAGTTTTAGTCTGCCCAGTGACCCTCTGAAAAAGCAGGAGCCAAAGGGAGGAAAGGAGCTGTGAAGCAGCTGAGAACAGACACCTTCCCTCTTTTAGTCTATTGGACAGCTTAGTAATCACAGTTAGCTCTTGCATCTGTACAAGGCATGAAAGCAAAACACCCAGAGGCACCCAGAAAAAAAGGGGCGCATTGGGGTCACCTGGTACCGTGTCAGCATAGGCACAGCAAGCTGTCATCAGAAACACAACACAACTGCCTCGGTTTTCCTTAGTTCAACAACATTCCGGAGGATTGCTTGGCACCTTGTTTGCAGTTATTATGTGGCTGTGGTGTTGGGGAAAGGTTCTGCACCAGGGGGCATGGGATGGGCTGCCCAGGGCAGTGGGCACAGCCCCAGGTGCCAGAGCTCAGGGGGTTTGGGCAGCACTGATTGACAGTGGGTTTGGATTTTGGGTGGAACCAGGGGTTGGATTTGGTGATCCTTGTAGATTGGGGTAATCTGTGATTTGAGCAACAGATTGGAGAAGTTACCCCAGCAGGGTATTATAACACCTAGATTTCAAGTGGTGCTTTACAGTTAATTGCTTTTAAATTTTAAAAGCAGTTAAATAATTATATAAAACAATAACAAATGATGTAACAAGAAAATCAGATACTTCCTCTGTAAATGGTAAGACAAGCTGCATGTGAAGCTAGGCAAATTTCCTGAAGTTTAAAAGAGCCTTAATAGATATTCAGCATGAGTCATTTATGCCCTTCTCTGGAGGTGTTCAAGGCCACACTGGATTTGGGCAACCTGATCTAGTGGAATGTTTCCCCAGCCATAACAGGGAGATTGAAATTAGATGGTCTTTATAATCCCTTCCAATCCAAAGCATTTTATGATTCTATTACTGCTGTCACAGGCTAGAGGATGCCTTAACCTCATCCTGTGGATTCTCCTTCTTGCTCTCTGTAAGTGCTCAGCACAGCAGACACTATGCTTACACACCATGTGTAAGCTACAGAAGCAACAACTCAGCAAGACAGTTCATGCTTACCTTTTCAAAAACATAAAGCAGGTGCTCTTCTGGCAATTCGTGTTCATTCAACTGAATTTGGATTTAGCCATAAAGGCAATGAATGTCCACCTCCCCTTGATGTAAAGTAGGTTGAAACAACTTGTAGGACTTAATTAAAAATAAGGTTAATGTAAAGGATAAAATCATGGATCCTTTGAGGTCAGTGAGATTTCTGTTCTTCAGTACTCTCGTGCACTAACTCACTATTCATCTTCAACATTTCTCTGGGGCATAAAAGTACTTCTGCAGAGTACTATCATTTAGTTAATAAAAATGTCAGGAATACACCTAAAATTGACTCAGTCTCCACCTGTACTTATTTTTGAATGAAAAACAGTCCCAGCAGAATAAACAAAAATCCATGCAAACACTCTTTGAAAGAGGATTCTAAATACATAGCTTAAAAGTACATTACACAAGATTGGCCCCACCTTGCACAGGAACCACAATTTGTTTCAACAGAAAGACTGGTAGGAAGTAGGAATTATTTATTGTTCAATTCTAAGTGACCTTACTTTCATGTGGAATTTCATTCAGTTTTAAGAAAGATCAAAAATGTTTATAGAATTCTTAAAGCAGTTTTTCGAAGCTCACCAGTTGTGCTTCATTAATCCTTTCAAGCTGTTTAAAGTCCTTGTTTGTTACCTGAACATCTGTGAGATGCACTGGGATTCAGTGTCACTTTATTTAATCATCACAGTCATATATAAATAATACAATTACATAGCTTAGAAAGTGTAGAAGAACTGTTATGTCATCCCTGGTTCGTGATATGACAGAAGGTCTTCCAAATTTATCTGCACTGTTAAAGCATATGGCACAGCACTGGAACAAGGAATCTTAGTGTCAATCCAGAAAATAAGAATTGTCAGTTTTGTCGTGTTTGTGTAAAGAAAAGAAAGCTTGGGAGGAAAACTCATAAGCACCAATTCTGTAAAGGCACAGTGAAGACCCATGCTCATGAAAGAGCCAGTGCAGCACGGAGGTGATATCTGAGGGGTAGATGTGATGTGTTTTGGAGAGTAAAGGAACAGTTTTGAGGTATATCTATCTGGAACTACGAGTGACCAAAAACAATAATAAGGCACAATAGTGAGCGTTCACTTTCACAGAATACTTCATGGTGATTTCACTCATCAGGATTCATTCTTTTCTTCCATTTCTAACAACTCATCAAGGAATTCCACCACTTCACCCTAGAAAAGATTAAAATTAAGAAATAGGTTAACTGTGTACTCCAAAATGAGTAGTGTTTACCATTAAAACAAACTGTAATAACTAGTGCCACATAAACTGTTTTTTAACACTTTGATGTACTAGCACAACAAGCCTATAAAATGCAAATAAATGGCCCATACAGGTAAACCACACATTCACTTACTTGCAAGGACATACAGACCTTAAAAGAAGAAAATGCTACACTCCACATTAAATCTTGTACTTTTTCAGGTATTTAAATAGACAACGAAATCCTCACATTTAGGAAGTAGACATATAAATGTTTAAAGCACCTGTTAAATTAGGAATTTGAAGGATTAAAGAAATAGGAATTAGAAAAAAATGTTGAAATGCCATAAAAAATTGGAGCTTCAAAATTCAAAGAGAAAGTGTTTTGTAAACCATTAATTATGACTTTGCATCTCTCTCCTTCAGCAGTTAATGTTCTTTGGTATGCCCTTCAAAATACACTTTCTCCATTTTTCACCTGTGAACATTCACATTTTACTTCAGAGCAGCAAAAACACAGAGAACCACAGATACTAGAATGTTTTCCATATTAGAAACAATAAACTGCTTTTAAATTCAGTTCCATAATATTGTACTTATAACTTCCAACCTTCTCGTACGCTGTACCAACACAACGTAACAATCAAACTTACTTTCTTTAAACTCTTGGCACAGTCACATACCACAGACTTGTCTTCCTGGGGTTAGCCAAAGTACCTTTGAGGATACTGTCCCCTCAGCTGGAGTTTACTGCCTTGCCATCCAAGCTACAGTAACTGAGCTACATCTCGTAGCCCAAGGTCACACCTTGAGCACTGGCTGAAAGAGCTGACTGTGAACATGCAGCAGCACCTCAGACTGCACAAAACTGACTGTAGCAGCTCATCTGCCTGCACCCTCAGAAATAGCAGTGTTTTCCTATTTCCCCTCCATGCACAGTTCAGGCACACTGATGTCTCAGCTTGTACATATTTTCACTTTTTGATACAACTGCAATACTGTGCTGTAAGAGAGACACAAATGGTCAGCTTTGAATTTCCAATCTTTTATTCTAGTAACTACAGTGCTGTGTTAAAATGTTGTAATTTAAATTATGGCTTAAAAATCCAGTCCGTCCTTTCTTGACATAATCCTCTGTGTTTTAAAAAGGTTACAATATGTAATTTAGCCTTTTTCCAGAACAAGTAGCAACTTTCTGATAGGGAAAAAAAATTAAGATGTCTGATCAGTCCTTACTCTCAGATTAAAAAAAAAATCAGAATTTAAAACAGTTGTGTTGAAAGAAAGTCAGCCTTGTTGGATTGCTCACTTTCATACCCCCTTCACCACTCAAGTCTAAGTCTTTGTCTACCAGGTTTTGGAGTCTGGTTAATGAAGGCTGCAAACAGTAATTTGTAACCTTAATTAAATTTTAAGCACGTTTCTATCTTGGAAGGTAGAACAGCACCTTCCAGATACGTGCAGTTTCAGACTCAAAAGTTAACTGCTTTGTGATAAGGAAAGAGCATTCTGTTTGAGGACAGTGAAAATAACAGGAAGAAATAGAGAAATTCTGTATTTTGACTACAGAGCAATTGCATTATGGACGTGGTGGTTAAAAATACTAACAGCACATTTTTCAGACGTGACCAGCAAGGAGAGAAATAAGAACCAAGCAAACAAACAACAACAAAAAGAAATGAGAGGAAAGCCAGCGTAAGTAACTGCTGCTTTTGTTCCCTATTTCACAGTTCCATCTTAAAAGACTGTTGAGTTTTCTCAACAGTGGTGGTTTTAGAAAGTCCTGAAGGATGGCAATTTATTTTGCTTTGAATTTATTCAAAACATCTAAATTTCCAGTTCAACAAAAACACAAGAAAAAATGCCAGAACTCTCATATTCTCTGCTTGTCTTCCTGATTGCAGGAAGTCTGGCTACTGGAAAACAGGAATTCAACATTTCTGCACGTTTTCTTTTGTTAGAAGTATTTGGATTGCCTAAGGAGCCCAATCACATGAGGAACTTAACACTGCTTCACAAATGCATATGAAGAAAATAGCCACATGGTCCAACAGTCGCTATGTAAGCCTTTGAAACAAAGGTTCAGAGGACTTAAGGACAAGTTTTCTAGCACAACTTCTAAAATAGCAGGCATAAACATGTCTTGAAGGACTACAGAGATGCAGTCCCCACTAACTATAAACTGAGTTACCAGATTAGGAATGCACTTATCTCCTTACAGGGCTCTCAAATCTAATTTGGACTGATTCTCTTACACCTCAGAATCACCATTTAATAAAAGAATAACAGATACTGAAAATGAATTCTTTGTTCAGTCTACCTGCAAAGACAACTCTCAAAAAGCCTGAGAGACAGGGTGAAGGGAGTAAGCATCGGGCTGTATGATCTAGAATAAAGTATAAGAAAGACACTGGGATGTCCATACTGTGACTTTAGTCACTCAGTCAAATGTGAACGTAATTCAATTTGAGATACTGTCACCTTCATCTGTAAGGTGGGATATTCCAGAAGACACAGGAGCTTGTATCATGCAAGAGAAGGCTCTGTGGAGACCTTACTGCAGTCTTTCAGTGTATAAAGGGAATCTCCAAGAAACAGGAGACTCTTTAACGGGGTGTGTAATGGTGAGACAAGGGGAAACAGTTTTAAATTAAAGAGTAGGTTTAGATTAGACATAAGAAATAAATTCTTAACTCAGAGAGTGGTGAGGCACTGGCATGGGCTGTCAGAGAAGCTGTTGATGTTGCATCCCTGCAGATGTTCAAGGCCACACTGGATGGGGCTTTGGGCAGCCCATTCTAGTTGGAGAGGAGTCAGAACTAGATGGTCTTTAAGGTTTTTTCTAACCCAAACCATTCTATGATTCTATCCAGACATCTAATTTTTTTTTTTCTTCAGGCATGTTTTCAAACCAAGAAACTTGCAAGAGCCCAAAGTTTTAAATGTGAAAGGATGTTTAAAAAAAGAAAAGCTACACAACAGTATTTGAAATAAACTTGCCTGAAATCTCCGGAGTATGAAAGTCATCTTTAAAAGTGGGTGTGATAAGTCCTTTCTGTCTAATGAGAATTTCTGAGGAGTAAAAGAATTTGAAACATAGCTAGAAGGTGAAAATAGTTGCTTAAGCAATAAGCATCCAGAAAATATGCTGTAATGCAATTTAATAATTGCCTGTTGATTAGTTTTAAAAAGATGAATGATCGCTATCACAGTTAAAGACAAAAGGTGTAGTTGAAATATTTTTGCCTGCACTTCACAGTAAGAATGTAAAACATCCAGACATTGAGCATACTGTAGTTGGCATCCTGGTGAAAGGTGATAATACTTCATCAGAAGAGTTTATCACCTTGTCACGCTAACAGCTACGACCAGATTTATCACTGTTTTTGCTCTGTTAGCGCTCCCTTGACGCTGCATCAAACATTTTGCATGTCTGATGTCAGTAAATACTTCCTAGATGTTAATTCCAGGAGAAAACCTCAATGGTATCCCAGGTTCCATCAGAAGAGGGGAGGCCAGCAGGTGTGGGAGATGACTGTCTCCTTCTATTCTGCCCTTGTGAAGCCCCATCTGGAATACTGCATCCAGGTTTGGGGCCCCCTACACAGGAAGGATGTGGAGCTTTAGGAGAGGGTCCAGAGCAGGGCCAGGGCCATGAAGATGATCCAAGGACTGCAGCATCTCCCCTATGAAGACAGGCTGAAGGAACTGGGCTTGCTCAGCCTGGATGAGAGAAGGCTATAGGGAGAACTCATTGCAATATTTAAAGAGATCTCATAACACATGAAGGAGATCAACTTTTTACAAGGGTGAATAGTGATAGCACAAAGGGGAACGGTGTTAAACTAAAGGAAGGGAGATCTAGATTAGATGTCAGGGGGGAGTTCTCTGCTGAGAGAATAGTCAGGTGCTGGAACAGGTTGCCTAGAGAGATTGTGGATGCTCATGGCTGGAGGTGTTTAATGCCAGGCTAGGTGGGGACCTGGGCAATCTGAGCTAGTACTTGATGTAGAGGTTGGCAGTGCTGCAGCAGAAAGGCAGCAGTGCTGCCTGTAGCAGAGGGGTTGGAACCTGATGGTCCTTGAGGTCCCTTCCAACCCAAGCCATTCGTGATTCTATGGCTCTAAGAAAAGCCTCCTGGGTACTTGTACCTGTTAACTTCACCTTAGCTTTCAGACCTGGAATCAGAAAATGATTCTCTGGTATGATTTAAGCATTCAGTGTCACAGTGTCACTTCCTACCTACGTAAATAACAATCACAACAAATTCTACGTGTGAAGATGGCTGCAAAACTGTAATTTTTCCTGCTGACAACTACTACAGGGAACACCAGCCATCCAGCTCTAATGCAGGTTATGTAAACGTACTGCTTAGACAGTGCTGATGCAAATCAAGGTTCTGCCCTTGATTGATGTGATGATACAGCGTGATGTAGCTGTCTGGCTGGTAGCTAGTAGGTCAATATGTGAATTCTGATTGAGTGTGGGGAAGGACAGATTTTGCTGCTGATAAGTACTTAGCTGATCATTAGGCAGTTTACCACTGGAGATCACACATGCAGACTGCTTAGTCCACTCCTGAGAAGCACACCTTTACTGTGAGTTGTCCCTTCATCCAGTCCCTGCCTCCAGTTTTGATCTGATGGCCAGAAGTATCTGCTGTGGGGGTGCGACTGTCAGCACTCCATGAGCTACCAAACTGTATGACAAACCTCCTCCTTCTCTCCAACCAGGGTCTATCAGCAAAGTGGGAATGACAAGAGGAATGCATGGGAAAAGATGGAAAGGTATAGCCTGAAATATGGGAGGATACTGAGTAGCAGCAGGGGAATGTTCCCAGGCAGGTGCGAGTGGTAGGAAGAATCAGACAAGCTGATCAACTGGAGCTTCCAGTTAGCTGTTAGATATGCAGATTGAGTGCCCCTGGCTTAGAGAAACAACTGGACAGAGGCTCAAACAGAAAGAACAA